TGCCTCCCCTCTATACGTCAGAGTGGGACCTACGCCGCGCCGGGAAAGGGGCGCGCCCGGTCCTCGACGGAGCCGCGCGCCCCAAACGACCCAGGCGGCGAGTAGTCGACCTCGAACCTTCGACATGTAGTTGCCCGTAGTTAGCGCCCGCCCGCCCCCCCCCCCCTCTGTCGCTTCGCAAACGAAAAAACAAAATAAAACCAAGCAAAAGAGAAAGCGAAGCCAAAAAACGATTGCGTAAACGGCGTCACAAAGCCCGCCGGTTTTGATCGACAATCGTGAGATTGACCGCCGTCGACCAGAGAATGGCAGACGATGCGTCAGCTTGTGCGGCGCTCGCGCCGCGCAGGCTGGCCCATCGAGGGCACTCTCTGGCGCTGTCCGGGCCAAGCGCGGCGCCGTGCATGCCGCGTGCCACTCGCCGTGGCTCGCGGTGCAGCGCCACTGCAGCCTCGAAAACGTCGCGCACAGCACCAGCATGCTGCCCGCCAGGCAGCAGAGTGCTGCACCGGCGTGCAGCGGACGCTGCGGCGCTGCGGCGTCGCCTCCCCGCCCTGTCCACGGAGCAGACGAGCGGCGGCACGGCCTTCCACCAGCTGCAGGAGGTGCGCACTTCTCAAAGGAAGCACAGGATGCTCCCGCAGTTTACGCAGCTTTGTGCAGCGCAGCGCACGGGCCACGCCACACAAAGCCGACCCTCAGTCTGGCCAAGAGGCTGTCTGCGGAAGGCCTGGCAGCGTGTACTCGCCTCCTCCGCGGCCATGCCCTCCGCCCGGGAATTCTTTTTCTTCTCGAAACCGCACCGCCTCTCTCAGAGGGAGCCGCCGCGGCCCGGCGATGTCTGGTGACTCAACCGCCGCCGCGACGCCCCTCTCCGCCGTGGTGCACTTCCTCGTCGACAGGTGCGAGATCAACGAGGAGGATGCCGCACAGTACGCAGCGGCGCTGTGCACGGACGGCTATGACACACTTGCGTCGCTCTGCGACGTGGAGGAGAGCGACTGGGACGGCTACGAGATTAAGAAGGGCCACCTCAAGCGCATCAAGCGTCTGCTCGGCGCGAGCATGGCGCCGCCACCAACAGCTCACGCACCTCCGCCGCCGCCGCCGCCGCCGCCGCCGCCAGCTGATTCGGGGAGCGACGAAGGCGAGGGCAGCGACGGCGACGGCGAGGGCAGCGTCGTCCAATCCTGGAAGGCAAAGCCTGTCGAGGTGGAGGAGCTAGGCGGCGTAGATGTCGATGAGCTGCTCGATATCAAGCTGACCAAGAGCGGGTTCCTCTCGGGCATCTCGGCGCTCGGCGGCCTCCTGCTCGCCTACGCTGCGATGGGCAGCCGGCTCCAGATCGAGGTGCCCACCGGCCCGGTCACCTTCCTGAACTATGCGGTAGCCACCGGCGCCGCGTACGGCGGCGGCTTCCTCCTCGTGCCAAAGTTCATGATGATCAACTTCAGCAAGTCGCCTGACAAGTACCACATCTTCTTCGCACGCTTCATCGGCTTCCTGATGTGCCTGCTCTCACACATGATCCACACCAAGGCGATGGGCGCCGACACGTCCAAGTTCGCCGCCATCATGATCTCCGGCTGCGCCTTCCTCGGCCCGACGTATGCCGGCCTCAAGCTCAACCCGAAGCAGACGCCGGCCGCGACCATGCCCGCGCCTGTCATCATGCTCATCATGGGCATCCTCGCCGCCACCGAGTGAGCTTATGTGCTATATGTGCCTGCTATCGTGAGATGTGATGAGAGAGAATGTGCTTCCCTTTCCCGTGCCCGGTGTTGTGCGAGGGAGTTTTGTTGTAAAATTCTTTTGTCAAGCCTGCTGCTGAGAGAGAGGGCTTGTTGCACGAGTATATAGGTGCCACGATGTCTCAAATATGAGGGGTTTTGACTCCTACCGGCTCCTGACGCTATCCCTGGCAGCTCTAATGACCAGGACCAGTAGTGCTATGATAGAGGGTGCCCATACTAGCGCAGGAGCTGCCACACTCGCCCGGACCGTCCCCCTCTGGGGCCGGTTCCGCAGCCCGCGAGAGCCGACAGCGGGGCCGTGCCGCGGGTGCCTACTGCCGAGTGCCACAAACACTGCGCCGTCCCGCCATCACCTACAGGCTGTCTTGTGTGATGGTTGGGATGTCCAAACGCCACCATCTTGGCTCACCTCCGCACCCTCAGGTCTCACACTTTATCACCTCCTACGGGACGCCTTCGATGGCACGCTCGGCGGCGACTTTGTTGCAGCCCCACAGCGAGCGCGGCGTCGAGCCTACTCACTCCAGTTGGATACACGCACTCCCTGGGACCCAGGGAGTGCGTGTATCCAGCTAGCGGTGCTTCCCGGCAGCGCGCGCCGGCTGTGGGGCTGCCACAAACTCGAGACACGCTTTTTGGGACATTTTCGATTCTTTTTCGGTGAGGATAGTATTGACCGCAGCGAATATGTTCACACCTTGAGCGGAGGCCAATTGATTCGCGAGACTCTGGCAAAAAAGTGCTCTTGCGTTACGGCGGTAGTTAGTGATCTAATCACCCGAATGCCACGTTCGGATCGCTTCTCATCGCAAACCCTGTCAGCAGTTCACCCTCGGGTATGTTCGTAAGAGCTACATACACTGAAAAAGGGGTTGGCAACGGGCTTTTGCGGGGGCAAGCCTTCAGCTGGTGCAGAACGTACCAAAACGTCCGTCCTGTCCACGACCAATGCGCGGTCGGCGCGGTCGGTAGAAATGGCTTGCTTGCAAGAATGGGATGCCGACAGGCGTCAGGCGGCGCATGCCGAGAAGTCGCTTGCTGTGCGGCGCCGACGGCTCACCTCGGCGCGGCACGCCTCAGGGAGCGTACGACGGCGAGAGGACAACGCAAGGCCTCGAGGAGTGGGCGATAACCAAGGAGGCGGAGGGGGCGCTCATGCAATAACATGTTGTCTTTTGTTTGTGTTGTTTGCTTGTTTGAGCGAGACCGCACAAATCTACCAAAAATAAAAGAAAAAAGCCTGGGTCGAGCCTGTCTGCTGAGAGAGAGAGTTGTTTGCGGTTAAAGCACAACACACACACTACGCGCAGCACACACACCCCGCACACCACCACAACACAACACACTACAAGTGCTTGTTTTTTCTCCTGTCATCGCAACATACATTATTTTTCTCCAACGTACCTGTGTTAGTGCCACCGCGCCAGCCCCGTGCCCAGTGTTGTGCGAGGGAGTTTTATCGTAAAATTCTCGCCGCCGCCGTGAGCATGCGGAATTCTTTTTCTCCTCGAAACCGCACCGCCTCTCTCAGAGGGAGCCGCCGCGGCCCGGCGATGTCTGGTGACTCAACCGCCGCCGCGACGCCCCTCTCCGCCGTGGTGCACTTCCTCGTCGACAGGTGTGAGATCAACGAGGAGGATGCCGCACAGTACGCAGCGGCGCTGTGCACGGACGGCTATGACACCCTTGCATCGCTCTGCGACGTGGAGGAGAGCGACTGGGACGGCTACGAGATTAAGAAGGGCCACCTCAAGCGCATCAAGCGTCTGCTCGGCGCGAGCATGGCGCCGCCACCAACAGCTCACGCATCTCCGCCGCCGCCGCCGCTGCCGCCGCCAGCTGTTTCGGGGAGCGACGAAGGCGAGGGCAGCGACGGCGACGGCGGTGGCGGCGATAGTACTCCGGTGCCAATAGCGTCGAGGACGTCGCCAAACATGGAGCTGGAGGCAGCGAAGCCAGCCAAGAGTGGCAACATTGTGCTTGTCAACATTGTGCTTGTGCTCTCTGCCCTCGTTGCGCTCACGTGCGCCATGCTCGTCCCGGCAGGCGGAAAGGCCAAGCGGCCAAAGGTCATCAAGGCGGCCCTTTGCGCAGCGCGCTGCCCGCCCGAGAGGGCGTGGAGGCCTCTCATTGTCGGTTCTCCCGCTCGCAGGCGCCGTTTGCCTCGGAGAAGGCGTTTGACGGGCAAGCGGTCCGGGCAAAAGGTTTCCAAGGGTCGCACGTCATCAGCTTCACGGTCAAGGACAAGCGCTGCCCACACTGCGTCGAGGCGACGGAGGCCCTCGACGGCCTCGAGACGAAGCTGAAGGCGCAGGCGACGGTACTCGCAGGCGCGGGAGCCGGCCAATCCGCCGCCGCCGCCGACGCCACCACCCTCTCCGCCTCCCGGGAGATGATCCGGCGCGCGCCCTCTCGCGCCCCGCAGGCAAGCTCAAGGTTGTGCAGGTCGACTGCTCCAAGCACGCCGACGTCTGCACCGAGTTTGACGTCGCCTGCGCCTTCAGCTTCAGGCGTGGAGATAGCAAGTTTTGCTACCCGACCCTGCTCTGGTTCCGGGCGGGCGAGCTGCAGGCGTGGAGCTCCGCCACCCACCCCGCCCGCGCCTGCGCCCCGCCGACGGCTCACCTCGGCGCGGCACGCCTCAGGGAGCGTACGACGGCGAGAGGACAACGCAAGGCCTCGAGGAGTGGGCGATAACCAAGGAGGCGGAGGGGGCGCTCATGCAATAACATGTTGTCTTTTGTTTGTGTTGTTTGCTTGTTTGAGCGAGACCGCACAAATCTACCAAAAATAAAAGAAAAAAAGCATGCGTCGAGCCTGTCTGCTGAGAGAGAGAGTTGTTTGCGGTTAAAGCACAACACACACACACAACGCGCAGCACACACACCCCGCACACCACCACAACACAACACACAACAAGTGCTTGTTTTGTGTGTGTGAGTGAGTCACACACACACACACACACACACACACACACACACACACACACACACACACACACACACACACACACACACACACACACACACACACACACACACACACACACACACTGCTTGTTTTTTCTCCTGTCATCGCAACTTATTTTTCTCCAAGGTACCTGTGTTAGTGCCACCGCGCCAAACCCGTGCCCAGTGTTGTGCGAGGGAGTTTTATCGTAAAATTCTCGCCGCCACTCGCGTTCTTGGAATTCTTTTTCTCCTCGAAACCGCCCTGCCTCTCAGAGGACGCCGCCGCGGCCCGGCGATGTCTGGTGACTCAACCGCCGCCGCGACGCCCCTCTCCGCCGTGGTGCACTTCCTCGTCGACAGGTGCGAGATCAACGAGGAGGATGCCGCACAGTACGCAGCGGCGCTGTGCACGGACGGCTATGACACCCTTGCGTCGCTCTGCGACGTGGAGGAGAGCGACTGGGACGGCTACGAGATTAAGAAGGGCCACCTCAAGCGCATCAAGCGTCTGCTCGGCGCGAGCACGGCGCCGCCACCAACAGCTCACGCATCTCCGCCGCCGCCGCCGCTGCCGCCGCCAGCTGTTTCGGGGAGCGACGAAGGCGAGGGCAGTGGCAGCGACGATGAGGGCAGCGGCAGCGACGGCGAGGGTAGCGGCAGCGACGGCGAGGGCAGCGACGGCGAGGGCGGAGGCAGTGTGATCGACGGGCTCCCTTTGGCATCAGCCACTTTCGCATCATCGGCCACGCTCTGGTGCATGCTGGCTGTTCTGGGGTGGTCACTGCCCATGGAGGAAGTGTGGATGTTGTTGGTTTGGTCGGTCGCGCTGATGCTCCTCCTCCGCGAAACGATTCGTACGAGCATGGCGCTGCCGCAGCCGACACCAAGCACTCACGCACCTCCGCCGCCGCCGCCGCCAGCTGATTCGAAAGTTATAAATTCTTTTTCTCCCAGTGTCGTGTGGTCGCTCGACTAGTCACTACCGCGAAGTGCCGAACTTAAGGTAAGGTAGCTTGAGTTAGGGAGCTCTTTTCCTCTTGCCAAACTCCTGTTCTAATGTGCCTAACTCCTGCTACCCACCTCTCGGTCCCGCCGGACCGGCACACGGGCCCCGCGGGCCCCGCACTGAGGCATCTCCCTCCTACGTCCTACGCTACGAGCACCTACACTCGAGGAGAGCTGCAGAGTCGGCGCACCAAACGCGAGGGTCAGCTGCGTCTTGGGCATTGGCTTGGGGTAGACTAGGCTCGTCCCCGCTAGGGTGAGCAGCAGCAGCATGCACACCAGCGGATAGGCGGCGGGGACACGTCAGCGCGTCAGCCCGTTCGGACCAAAAAAGAAATCAATGGCCGGCGCCATGCTGCTACCCCGTGCCTAACTGCTGCTACCCCGTGCCTAACTCAGTGCAAAGCACCTAACCTAACTCAAGCTACCTTACCTTAAGTTCGGCACTTCGCGGTAGACATATGCCGATATGCGAGTTTGCAGTTTTTGCTATTTACGATTCACATAGTCCTTCGGCTTTGTTCTTTGGCTCTTCGCCTCTTGGCTCGGGCCTCCGCCTCCTCCTCCGCCGAGAGGAAGAACTGCTGGGGGGTGCCCACCACATGCTAGGGGGGGGGTCCGACCCCCCCCAGAGGCTTCACCACATGCTAGGGGGGGGGTCCCGACCCCCCCAGCGCCTTCACCGCATGCTAGGGGGGGGGTGGAGCGTGAGCAGAAGCACGCCCCCCTCCCTGGAAGCGATGTGCGCTTTGAAAAAAACTCGGACATTTTACGAACTCCTTGGCGACGTGCGCGTCGCGTCGCCAAGGCTCTGCGACCTCGGTCGTACCATCGGCGACCTCGGTCGCACAACCGGCCGGCTGCGCGGGTTTTCAGCCAGGTTCCCGCGCACCGGCCACGAACTCGACTCGCACAGCAAAAAAATCCGGTGCTCGCGCGCCGCTCCCACGCTTGACCACACACTCGCTGCACTGCTCAAAGCCAACCCTACCTCACTGGCCGCCTCCAACACTGTCCCGCGCGTCTCGCGCCCCAACTGACAACTTACGCGGCGTAGCGGTGGGGAGCAAGCCGGTGTAGGTGCCACACCCAGGCGATGTCGATGGGCGGGATGAGACAGACGCCGTCGCCCTCGCTTGCGACGAGCGGCAGCCAGTGCTCGAGGTACCTCTTGATGGCTCCGGGCAAGAGTGAGCCGAGGTAGAGCGCGTCGCCGAGAGAGTGGACGACCCGGAGGAAGACCTTATGCTCGGCGAATCGGAGCGGGCTGATGGACGTGGGCAAGTGAGGCGCGCCGGCGGCTCGCAGCTCCCGTGACACGATTGCGTTCTAATGACATAAATTCTGTTATGTGTGAAGGACGGGGAGGAGGATTTCACGAAAAGATCGATCGTTTCTCAGAGAAAAGGGGAAGAAGAGAAAGAAGATAGCGGCCCTTAGTTGCCCTTGCGCCTCCCCCGGCAGCCACCAAGCGTTCCAACGCGATGGCTGAGAGATAACGACGCCAGCCATCCAGAACAAGGTGTGGTGGCTCGCGGAGCGAGAGTGGAGCCACCTGGGCTCGTGTCGGGGCGGCGAGAAGGCTGGGTCGAATTCGCGACAGCCATCCTCCGGCCAAATGGCTGCGACGGCTGTATGACAGCCATCTTGCGGCCGGGCGGATGGCTGGGACACAGCCATCGCAGCCATCGGCCGGAGGATGGCTGCACTTGGCTCTTGGCTGGAAGGCAGCCAAAATGGCGCGTGCTTGCAGGGCGGAGTGGCTAGGATCCTGCAATTGCAGCCATCCTTAGCACGGATGGCTGTGAAACTGGGAGCGCAGCCATCTTACCTTATATTTCCCCGCGGCCGGTTTTCCGTTTCGGGCGACGGCACACTCACCGAGCTCTCCGGCGGGGAATCATGTCGGCGAAGGCGGGCTCTGGCGTCTCGGTGATGCGCTCCGATCCCGACGCGTCGACCTCGACGGAGGTGGACGCGCACGAGGCGCAGTGGCGGGCCGGCGTCAACCGCCAAGCGCGTCCAGACGCCGCTTCGCAAAGACGGGCGGCGTCATTGGCTGCTGCAGCCAAGCGGCGGCGGATAAGGACATGAACAACATACCTGCGCAAGCCGTCGCCCGGGCGGCCGCAGGCGGTGCCATCTCAACCCACTCTCGGCACCGCTGCACGTGCGTGCTCCCTCTCCCACCCAACTCGGCTCCACTCTCGTCCACCCGCGCCCACCCCATCATCTGCTCTCAGGCTGATTGCGGCGTGTGTTGCGCAATGCCGACCCCCCAGACGTTGGCCAAAGCATGATTGGGATGCTTCTTTTTGGGCCGGGGGGGCGTTTGAAAGCGCGGGAGGCTGCCTCCCTGCCTTTTGGGACGCTTGGGACCACTGTTGAGTTCCATCCAGTACGGAGTACCAGTGGTGGGGAGGGTTTGGGCCCCCCCCCCCCCCCCCGCGGGCAGAATGGTAAACTCGTGTCTACTCACCTCGTCGGCTCCATCGGCTGCCTCTCCTCGTGCGCCGGCTGCCTCTCCATCCAACCGCTTCTGCGTCCCCTTCTCTGCCCGGTGCTCGCGTGTCGCGATGTCGCTCTGCCGAGAGGGTCATCGCCGGCGTAGGCGGAGCGGCGGGCCCTTCGTTACAGAGTCAACAAAGACATTTCACCCCTCGGGCTGTTGTTGCAGACAGAAAAACAAATTTGGCGCGCGTGCGCGCAAGGTCTGCTAGTCCACTCTAAAACGTGACAGGCGAGCTCCAGCTCGCCCGTCCTCTCGCGCCGCTCAGCACCGCTGGTCTCTCTCGGCTCCAAGAGAAGAGCCACGTTATGCCGCCCAGCGACCTCTTGAGGCTGCCTGTCGACGAGCTCCGCTCCTCGCGCCTCGCCGAGCTCCTCGCGAGCATCGACGCCGCCGACGCCGCCGACGCGCCTCTACTGACGCTGCTGTTCGACATGGCCTTCGGCGGCGTCGCCGGCCTCCAGCTGCTCCGTTCGGCGGCGGTGCAAGAGGCGCTCCGCGCGACGGCGCTCGTGCACGCCGACGACGCGATCCGTTCCTTTGCGCTCGTGCACTGCAAGCGGCTCGCGGCGGCGGCGGCCGACGTCTCCCTCCTCGGCGCGAGCGGGGTGCTGCAGCAGATTGCCGTGCTCGTCTCAGACGCGTCGCTCGGCGTGTCGCAGCGGGCGGTGGGGTTCTTCGTCGCCTGCGCGGCGAGCGCCGGCGCCCTCCGCGCCGTCCTCGACCACGCTCCCTCTCGCACCGCGCTCCTCGCCCCCTGCGCCGCCGCCGCCGCCGACCCAGCCGGCGGCGTTCCCGCCCTCGCGCTGCGCACACTCGCGCTCTTCGGTGAGATCGCCGCGATTGGCGACGCGCAGTGCGCCATGTGCGAGGAGAGCGGCGCGCTCGACCTCGCTCTCGCGGCATGGAGAGGCTCCGACGAGCTGGTCCGACTCAACGCGCTGGAGGTGTTTGCCCTTCTGGCGCGCGTGCCCCGCGGCCTGCACTGGCTCGAGGCGCACGGCGTCGTGGACGACCTGCTCGCCCAGGCGCGCGGCGCTGAGGCCGACGGTGACGCGCCGATGGCAGAGGTGCAGCTCCCCTCCGTCTTCCACTGCCTCGCCGAGCTACTCGAAGCGGGAGGCGACGCCGCCGTCGACAAGGCGCTCTCTCCCCATCTCTCCCCATCTCTCCCCATCTCTCCCCATCTCTCCCCACCTCTCCCCATCTCTCCCCATCTCTCCCCACCTCTCCCCACCTCTCCCCATCTCTCCCCATCTCTCCCCACCTCTCCCCATCTCTCCCCATCTCTCCCCATCTCTCCCCATCTCTCCCCATCTCTCCCCATCTCTCCCCACCTCTCCCCATCTCTCCCCATCTCTCCCCACCTCTCCCCATCTCTCCCCATCTCTCCCCATCTCTCCCCACCTCTCCCCATCTCTCCCCATCTCTCCCCACCTCTCCCCATCTCTCCCCATCTCTCCCCATCTCTCCCCATCTCTCCCCATCTCTCCCCGCCGCTCCCCCCATCTCCCCATATCTCCCCATATCTCCCCACATCTCCGCCGACTTGACCCCTCCCACACCTTGACAAGGCGCTCTCCACCGGCGGACTGCTCGGCCCGCTCTGGCGGCAGCTCGAGCCGGCCGGAGGTGGCGCGCGCGACGCGGCACTGGCGGCGGTGCGCGGCGCGGCGTGCTCGCGGCGGGGGTGCATTCTCGTGCTGCGGCAGACGGCGAGCGGCGGCGCGGCGGACCCGTTGGCGAGGCTGCTGCGCTCGAGCGACGCGCGGGCAAAGGTGGGCGCCTTTGCGGTGGCCGCGCAGCTCTGCAGCTCGTGCGCTCGATTCGCGGCGGACGGCGAGGTGGCGAGCGTGCAGCCCGCTCTGCGTGCGCTCATCGCCGCCGTCTCGCCCTCGGCGGGCACCGCACCCGGCGACGCCCTCGCCGCGCTGGTCGCGCTGCCGGCTGAGGAGCCCCCCGCGTCGCGGACAAGGGCACCTCTCCCCAGATCTCCCCCCATCTCCCCGCCTCCTTTCGACAGGAGCTGCGCGTCGCGGCGCTGCGGCTGCTGCTCGGCCTCGCGCAGCTCGAGTGGGGCGCGGGAGATGGGGCGATATGGATGGATAGGGGGAGATACGGGGAGATATGGGGAGATACGGGGCGATATCCATATCTCCCCACATCTCCCCACATCTCTAGGCGCGCTCGCCCTCGCCCGCTGCGAGGGGCTGCTCCACCTGCTGCTCCACGCGGAGGCTGTGCTGACCCCCGACGAGCTGCGCGACAAGCACGCCCTCGCCTCGGCGCTGCTCAAGTCGACGGCCGCCGCCGACGTGATTGGCGCCGGCGCGGCGACCGTGCGCCAGCTCCGCGAGTACGTGGCGGCAGGGCCGTTTGCGGCGCAGTCCAAGGCGGAGGCGCGGCCTGAGGGGCCGCTGACGCTCTGAGGCTAGCCGACGCCCGCCCCGTGCACCCCGGACCGTCGGGAGCAGAGTGGAAGTTCCCGGGCGGCTGGAGGGTGTCTTGATAGCGCAGCTTGAGTTGCCAGCTCCTTTTCGGAGCACGTGGAGCACTTGGAGTGCAGTCGCTAACCTCACATCCATTTCGGACCGCGCTGCGTTTTTCTTCTTCTGGCTTTCTCTCAAACACACACACACACATATACGGCTCTTTACGTCAGTACGTGGCACAGAGGCTAAAGGGTGTGGATGCTGGGTTCACGGAAATCGGGGGACGCGACCCACCTCGCCACAGACGGTCCCGCGCCTCGCCGCTATGACCGCTGCACGGCCCATACCAGCTGTGCAGCGGTCTTTGTCCGGAGTGAATACTCCAACGCGCTCGTCGGTGACGGTGTCCCCCGATTTCGCCGCGCTCGGCGAACCTCGACAGCGCTTTCGGTGGCATGCAGCTCTTTGCGACAGAAGCCTGGAGAGCAGCTCCTCTGCTGCTCACACACTCTGCACAGTTGACACAGCCTACTGTGCGGCTGCCACAGCTGTGACAGCGATGGGCTCGCCCTCACTGGCCCTCAGTCACTTGTGCTGCGGCTTGTGTGAGCGACACTGCTCGGCGACTGCCGGCACACTGTGTGAGACCATGGGTGTGAGGTAAAACCACGCTACCAGCGCTTGGTCACATCGGCCCCGAGGTCAGATTCTTCTACTCTGTTGATGACAACACTTGTCTACTCGCTGGAGCCGAGCAGGAGGGCCCGGCGCACAACCCCCTGGTCAACTCACCCTCCACACCCCGGTGTGGGGGCTGGACTCCGAGTCAGACTCCGAGATTGGGATTTTGGTTCCAGGGGGGCGTGGAGGCCTCCGCAAGCCTCCGGGTGACTGGGGAGGGTGGGTGGGGGTGTTGGGGAGGGAGGGAGAGGGGTTTGGTCGTGGTATTTTTTCTTTTCTTTTTTGTCCTCTCAAACTTGCACGCCTTGCGCCTACGACCCACGACCTCGCTCAGTTTGCGTTTGAGCACAGTGATCTGGTAAGCCTCGAGCATGGGAGATATCACCGACTGTGACTACGACTATGACACCGACTGTGAAAAGTTCGCCTTTGCTCCCAACAAATTCTTCACGCCGCCGGTGCTGCAGCAGTCAACTTTCATCGACATCTTCTCAGACGTCGACCTGCAGATGCTCCTCGTTGCCCATATGTACAATACCAACACAGAGGATTGCTTTCTACGCGCGATGGCTAGGTTGATGGGCGCAGCCAAGTTGTTCCGTGTGCAGGCCGAACTGCCGCATCCCAACGACATGCGTGCACACATACATCACGTACAGGTGTCGTCGGAAGGAGATACCGTGCAGGTGGTTGGATGTTGATGACGCGTTCACCAAGGAGCTGGCGGTGGCAGTCAAAGAGCTGTGGCGATAGTCGGGGGACGGGTATTTAGGGTTTTATTTGGTCCTCTCATGAGTCGCGTCGGTTGAGACTTAAGTTTCCGAGTCTCAACCGACGCGACTCATGACTTAAGTTTTTCCTTGTGGGTATACAGACCCGACGGGGTGGGAGGGAGGGGGGGGGGTGCGGGGGGAGGGAGGGAGGGGGGGTGCGGGGGGAGGGAGGGAGGAGGTTGCGGGGGGAAAAAGTAATACTGCCACCCCTCCCGGCCTGACAACAGAGGATAATAACGGGTCTATAACTGCCCATTTACTTTAGTTTAATGAGGCTCGGACTTACCTTCATTTGCGGGAAGAAGTAGTCATCGCTTTGGGCGCGGGAAGAAGTCATGTCAAGGCGATAACTCGGAGTGAGGAGTCGATTTCGAACGTACGTAGCACCTCCACCCTTGGGCTTGCCATTATCACCCAACTCGTCCATTACAGAGGGCAGTTTCAGGGTGATGTGGCGATGACGATCGGCCGTCGATCCCGAAGGGTCGTCGGTTGAGCTAGGGAGCCTGGCGATGGACGCCACCGCGACCCCTCGTGGCATCTCTCTCGCCGTCGGCGAGCTGGGGGCTCGCGGACGGCCGACTTTCTATATGACCAGTAGGACAGCCGTGAGTGTGAATTGGATAAGGAGTTGCGTCCGTCCACCGTCTTCGTGGACGTCTGTCCTCGTGACACCCACACCCCACACGGCCTGTCTTGCTTCAGTCCTCGACAGGCTCTGGAATGGTAACACTTTGCGCTAATGGCGCGATCATCGTTCGGTGTGCAGAGGGGTCAGCATTACGACGAACACTTGGTCGCCACCCTGTCGTCAACCACGAGTTGGCGCACGGACGGAGGTTGATTGGGTCTTCTGCACTATTGAAAGCTCTGTTCTGAGGGCTCTAGAGATGAAAAGATGCCTTCCTGGCGTTGGACGGAGAAAAAGGCGTTGGTCAGAGGGGCTGCCTCAGCCTCAAATGTTTGGTGCTGCTTGGGGGGGGTCCACCGCTTCTCGTACGTCATGCTCGACGAGCAAATGGTTGTATTGCCACCACATACCCAACCCAGGCACATCGGTTGGCTATGTGGTGGGTCCCGTCGTCGCACCGTCACGCTCGAATCGTTAATTGTACCGCCAAATGCGCGCATTGTGATCTCACTGTGGTACCCGGGGTCACAGTCGAAACGTTCGAGTGATTCGGCTGCGCTCCAATTCTCGTACACGTCGGCCAAGACTTCCATGCACTCACTGGCGTGCTTGGGGAGTAGATGAGGCACTGGCGTTTCGATCCACTGCAGCCATCCATGGTTCGAGCCCACAAGTTTCAGTGGGCTCGAACCACTGGCCGCACGATGTCGAAGCTTAAGTTTCCACTGGTTCGAGCCCAATGACGGACAGCGCGCCCCGTAAGTGCAAGCATTGTATGAGAAACGGCCACCCGCTGAACAAGCCACCCGGCACTCCTATGAACGATGCACGCAAAGGCGGGACCGAGTGCGCCTCGTGCAGGAAGTTCCGGTGGGAACCCACGGGACCGCGTCCAATATGTAAGGATTGTAAGGACAACGGCCACCCGCTGAACAAGCCACCCGGCACACCTATGAACAACGCACGTACACAAGGGTCAGAGTGCGGATCCTGCCACAAGGTCAAGAAAAAGCAGAAACTGAAATGCAAGCGCACACCGGCCGTGCAGGTGGCGACAGCGCACGAAGTCTCACCCCTCCCCCTCCTCCCCCTACACCCGCACGTCACCCCCCGCCCCTGCCGTCAACAGGCGGACGAAACACTGACGACAGCAGCGCGCGCAGCCGCCCCCTCGGGCGCAACCCCGCCGCCGCCGATCCCGCCACAGCAGGGCCCGCCACCAGCCCCGGCGGGCCCTGAGCGCACCCGCGCCAACGACCCCGAGGGCCGCGCCTCGAAGGCGGCGCGCCTCGATGTGGAGGCGCCGACGGCGGAGGCGCGGGTAGCGGAGGCGGAGCGGACGGTGGAGCGCGGTAGCGGCACAGGTGACCCCCCCCCACCCCACTCCCCCTCCTTTGCAGCAGCGCAGCCGCTCCTCCAAGATCGAGATGGCGATGCAGGACTGGACGCAGCTGCTCAACCACGCCAACGAGGCCGCCGCCTCGGAGACGTGGGAGCTGCCGCCCGAGGAGCTCTTCCTGCGGATCCTCGCGCAAGTCAACAAGTCGAAGCGCGACGTCCTGCAGGACAAGTACAACCAGTGCCGCGACCCGTCCAAGACCGCCGCCACCCGCTCCGTCTTCATCCGCGTGCTCAAGCGGTGCGCGCGTCCCCTCGACCCTGACCCCACACGCTCACCCGACGCCACCCCGACCCGCACAGCCACCCGCCGCCTCGCACACCCGGCGCGCGTGCGCACCCGGCCCCGACGCGCCCCCCCGCCGCCACCGCAGGATCGCCGAGTCGTTCATGACGGCGCTTCACAGCATGCAGGCCAACCGGCAGCTGCCGAACGCCGCAGCCCCCGGCGCCGCGAGATCCGCCCCAGAGACGATGGGACGGTAGCGGTCAGATCCCATATGCTACGGGTCCCTAGTACGGGTTCGGGGACTGTTCACAGCAGTGCGGGGGTAGGGGACCCCCCGGGAGTACCAGTATGGATTTCTTTTTCGGTCGCCAATTCCAGGCTGGATTTCTTCCGGGGGGGTGTGGAAAAAAAGTCGCGGCGGGGGCAATCCAGAGTGAGCAAATTGCAAGCAGTGGGATTCTTTTTTCACACCCACGTACGTGAAACGTGCGAAAAATTTTGGCACGTGGCAAGGAATTTATTAAATTCCTTGCCACGTGCCAAAGGAGCCGACAGGAGCCGCAACTTACGTCCCTTCCCACCCGCGCCTCGAGATGTCGGTCGTCGACAATGTGCTGTCGCTCATCTACCCACCGCCGCCTCCACCGCCGCCTCCACCAATGCCACTCTTGCCAGAATGGGTGCTCTCGTCGGCACTCTCGACAGCTGCTACGTTAGCAGTGGCGGCCGTGATCATGTCTGGCCTCGGTGCCGTGGCCAACGCGGCAGCCAATTCGGCGGCGGTCAGTCTACTGCTCTGGATTAAAAGAGTACCAACGTTTTCGTTTCCAAACGCCGTGACCACCGCGGCAGGGCGCATCGTCGTACTGTTCAACTGCATGGGTGCTTACGCGGTGATCGTCACCGTCCCACTGTTCAAGTGCATGGGAATCAGCAACCTTGCTGCAATCTTAGCTGCAGCTACCCTGTTTTTGGTACCCTTTGGCTACATTGTTTGTCTCGCGATGGCTACCTTCTTTGGCTATGCGGAGGGCATCCCGCCGCTGGTCGCGTTCGCTCGCGACGGCTCGGACGGGCAGAAGGAGTGGGCCGCGGGGGCGCTGATGTGGCTCGCTTGGAACGACGACAACCGAGTGGCGATCGCGAGGGCGGGCGGCATCGCGCCGCTGGTGGCGCTGGCTCGCGGCGGCACGGACGGGCAGAAACGCGCGGCCGCGGGGGCGCTGGGGAACATCGCTTGCAACAACGACAACCTGGTGGCGATTGCAAAGGCGGGCGGCATCGCGCCGCTGGTGGCGCTGGCTCGCGGCGGCTCGGACGGGCAGAAATGGGCGGCCGCGGGGGCGCTGAGGAACATCGCTTGCAGCAACGACGACAACCAGGTGGCGATTGCAAAGGCGGGCGGCATCGCGCCGCTGGTGGCGCTGGCTCGCGGCGGCTTGGACGGGCAGAAGGAGTTGGCCGCGTGGGCGCTGGTGAACCTCGCAGGTGTCGCCGAGAACGGGAAGGCGATCGCGGAGGCGGGCGGCATTGCGCCGCTGGTGGCGCTGGCTCGCGGCGGCACGGACGGGCAGAAATGGGCGGCCGCGGGGGCGCTAGAGAACCTCGCCGCGGACGCCGAGAACAGGAAGGCGATCGCGGAGGCGGGCGGCATCGGGCCCCTCGTCGAGCTGCTGGGCGACGGCTCGGTCGGCGTCAGGAAGGTGGCGGCCGGCGCGCTTGGGAACCTCGCCGCGGACGCCGAGAACAGGAAGGCGATCGCGGAGGCGGGCGGCATCGGGCCTCTCGTCGAGCTGCTGGGCGACGACTCGGTCGGCGTGAGGGAGATGGCGGCCGGCGCGCTTTGGAACCTCGCCGTGGACGCCAAGAACAAGAAGGCGATCGCGGAGGCGGGCGGCATCGGGCCCCTCGTCGAGCTGCTGGGCGACGGCTCGGACGGCGTCAGGGAGAGGGCGGCCGGCGTGCTTGCGAACCTCGCCGCGTACAATGACGCCAACGCCAGGGCGATCGGTACAGACGCGTGCATTCAAAGCCTTCTGCGCCTCGAGGAGGACAGCACTCCGGGCGCGAAGGAACAGGCCGGCCGTGCGCTGCGGCTCCTCGCGCGCTGCGATTCTCTGACGGCCCGCATCGAGCAGCTCAGAACGCAGCACACCGCGCCCGCGCCCGCCCCGGCCCTGGCTCCTGCGCCCGCGCCCGCGCCCGCGCCCGCTCCGGCGCCCGCGTCCGCTCCGGCACCTGCACCTGCGGAGCCTCCCAACATGGTAGCTCGATGGGCAGAGCTCGTCGATGGGGTGCGGCCGGAGGATGGCGCTCTGAAACATCCAGATGATTACATCGTGAACACGCTCCAGTGCAACAGCGCGCTGGATGCGAAGCAGGGCTGCACGGGCCTCTACGTCCGCTTCCTCGACCGCGTTGCCACGCATGATGCGACCGTGCTGATCCTTCTGCCGCAGCGGGCGCTCCCGCCGCGGACGGATGCCTACCCGACGCTGCACCTCCAATGTCTGCAGCACCTGCGCGAGAACCTGGACGAGAGCAAGCCCGGTGCCCTGGAGGTCGAGGACAAGTTCCACTTCTGCATCGGCTTTGCGATCGGCACCGATGGCGTGCTGCAGAGAAACTCGTGCGCCAACGAGCAGATCTACGGCGCGGGGCGCGCGCTGCCGCAGCCGCAGTACGACTCACTCTTCGAGCTGCTTAAATCATTGAAGATCCGGTGCGCAAAGCGCCAGTGACGCGGCTTGCAGCAAGAAGGGAGGTGACACGTGCGTTGGGGAAGAAGTCTGGCGGCGCGTGGCACGGGGCGCAGCGGACGGCGCGCGAGGCGAAGGGGCAGACTCGCTGCCTGAAGAGATTTGTTTGTGTTCTGAGGTGTGAAGCCTGAGTGAACGGGAACAGCTGTCGTCCCAACATGAAGTGCTGCGATCGGGAGTGCCCCATTTCTTTTTTCCTTTCTTTTTTTGGGTCCTGTGGGCACCCTAGGCTAGTTCCAAGATCTGCGCACTCGCGCTGCACAGAGCGCGGCCCTTCACGCACCTCGCTGCGACGGATGGAGGGAGAGACATGCCAAACAAGTGGGTGGGGGGTAGGTTCGTGCCTCGACCAGTAGTGTCGTATGGGGTGTACGAAGGGCCGGCCCGATTCGGGAGACCCGTCGAGGGATCCGGACAGCTCGAAGGGGGGGACGATGAGCTGCGGCTCGCTTCGCGGCGGCAGCGGCCGGGGGCGGAGCGCGTGCATACACCGTTTTAAACAGATTTTTAATAAAACTCGGGGTTTTCCTTTGTTTTGCCCAGCTTTTGTACTCGCAGAATGTGGGTAAACGAAAGTACCGTATTCGGTACTACAACTGTATCAAGAAAGACACCGAAAAAAGTCGCCGCGGCAGTCCACGACGAGCCAGCCTGCTGCCGGCTCGCACGGCAGCCTCTTCCTATGGACCAGCCTCGACTTCCATACAGTCAACATTTTGTCGCTGCGTGCTCGTGGTGAGCTGTGGCGGCGGTCGAAGTTCGCCCAGATTCGACGACGAGCGCCGGACGATAGTACCGCCTCTGTTCGCCCTGTGCATGTCAGGCCAGGCTGCAGCAGGGCACTACCATCGTGCTGCCCTGTTGCAGCCTGACTTTGCCCACTGTGCACAGTCGCCAGAGCACCACCACCGCCCGGCATCGTGTCACGGCGAGCTCCTTCTGCGCCCGCTCGCGAGGCTCTCGCGCTGGCACACTTTGGCCATCTGCTGCTCGCGTTCGGCGAGCTCTTCTCCGCACTCCTGCCACGGTACCGTCACCACACACCTTCTGGCTGGCCTGAGCCGCGCGGGGTCGCCGGCGGGGGCAACGCGTCGACCTCTCTCTCTGGTGCACCACGGGCCGCAACGGCCTGCGAGCAGCGTGCGCGAGGAGGCAGTGTGCCGGCACAGTCGAGCCGGAGCATCGGGTTCTTGATGCTTCTGGGGTCAAGTTTGACCTTATGTGGCCTAATATGCAACAATAATGCTATGCTCTCACCCAGCCTTTTGAGATATGGTCCCTCAAAGTCGAATTTTCGTTTACTGGTGACCATAGTACCGTCTGTCCGGTTTGCGTTTCTTCAAACGAAACACTTAAAGTCTCGACAATCACTAAGCTGCTTATGTGGCACCGCAAAGGCTCCTTTTTTCGTTTACCCACATTATGCGAGTATTCACACCGCGGCTCTTGGCACAATGTCGGTCGCGGGCTGTAAAGGCCCGTCCGCCCTGACTCGCAGCACCTCGAGGCGCAGGCTCCCCCGCTGGCTGCACCTGCCACGCCGGCTATACAGACCGCCGACCGCCGTGTGCGCCACTGTGCCTTCGCACAGCGGGTTTGTGGCCGCTGCCGCCGCCTCCGGGGCGGCCGCCGCCATCGCCCTGCTTTTTGCCTTCATTCTCTTCCTGTGCAAGCGGCGGCGGACAGCAGCGCGGCCGGCTGGCGGCTCTGGACGGCGCCCGCTGTACCGCCGCGCCTCGGCCTCCACCAAGCTGCTCGAGCTCATTCACCAGACGGCGGGACGGGACGAGAGCTTCCCTGCCAAGCGGCTGCGAAGGGAGTGGGGCGGCGGCTTCACGAAAGGAGTGCTCTCCGCCGCCAAGGACTCGCTCTTCAGCCTCGCCCCCTGGCGCCAGTCCTCCCGCCCACACCTCCCTCCCGGCTTTGAGGACGCTGCTCTCTCCGCCCTCCAGCAGCGGCCGGGCGCGGCGGACGCGTTCGAGGCGCTCCTCCGCCGCCTGCCCGCGCCCTCGGCGGAGGCGCTCGGCCGGCTGCGCCGCTGCATCCTCGATCTCGTGGTTGAGTCGGACACGGCGGACAGCGACACCCGCCTCCTCTTTGGCGCTGCGGACTGCCTCGCCCGCCTGCACACCGCCTACCTCGTCCCGAGGCCGGCCACGCGCGACGCGCTCTTCTTCCCCTGCGACGGCTCGCTCGACCGGCTGGTGAGGCGCCTCTCCGCCGCCGAAAGCAGCATCGACGCCGCCGTCTACACCATCACCGACGAGCGGCTCACGCGGTCCCTGCTCGAGCGGCACCGCGCAGGAGCGTACGTCAGAGTCGTCTCAGACGCGGAGCAAGCCTTCGCGACCGGCTCGCGCATCTTCGAGCTGGCGCGTGCCGGCGTCTCTGCCGTGGTCGGAGGCCACGAGAGAGAGGACTCGCAGGCGCGGATGCACCACAAGTTCGTGCTGATCGACAAGAGGCTTCTTCTCACCCGCAATCTCCCGCAATCTCCCGCTATCTCCCCCGATCTCCCTCATATCTCGATAGGCTTCTCCTCACCGGCTCCTTCAACTGGACGGTCTCGGCGCACGCGCGAGGCAACTGCAATCTCCCGCAATCTCCCGCAACCTCCCGCGGTCTCCCTCAGATTTCCCCCATAGCTCCCTCAGATCTCCCTCATACCTCCCACAGGCAACTGCGAGAACCTGCTAGTTCTCTCCCCATATCTCCCCATATCTCCCCACATCTCCCCACAGGCAACTGCGAGAACCTGCTCGTCACATCGGACAGTGAGATGGTGGCCGCCTTCTCCGCGGAGTTCGAGCGCCTGTACTCTCTCTTCCGCGCCAGCAACGCCATGCCGCAGCAGCCACTGCCCCGCGCCGCCGCCGCAGCCCGAGGCGGAGGCGGAGGCGGGGGCGGGGGCGGCGGGGGCGGCGGAGGAGGAGGAGGCGGAGGAGGCGGCGGCGGAGGCGGCGGCGGCGGCACGCCTCACACGCTGCAGCGAGCCGCCAGGAGGCTCGGAGAGGTTGGCCGATGGGCGGGAGGGAGCCGCTCAGCCCGCCGGCTGCCGGTCGGCGGCGCGGCGGGTGGTGCGGCACCGATGGCGCCGCCGCCCAGCCGGCCACTGCGGCAGAGTGGTGCGGGAGCCGTCCCCCGAACTGTCTCGGAAGCTTCTCCTGTAGGCGCGGCCGCCGCCCCGCCCGCCGGTAGAAAAAGAAACACCCGCGGGAAAAGAAGAAAAACACGCGTAGGCGCCGCCGCCCAGCCGGCCGCGTGCAGAGTGGGGCGCCAGGCTGTCTGCGGGCGCGCGCGGCGTGCTGCGAGACTACGGGGCGCTGCGGCGCGACATACTGGCGGAGGAGGCCGTCGGCGGCGCAGAGAGGGAGGAGCTTCTGCGCGCCGCCGCCGCCGAGGCGTCCGACGCGTTTCGCGGGCTGCTGCGGCGAGCAGACCCCCCCGCCACCGCCGCCGGCGCCGCGACGACCGCGCTGATCAAGGGCGTGGCTGCGCATTTGCACGCGGCGGCGGCGGAGGGGAGCGGCGCCGGCGGCGGCGGCGCGGGCGGGGATCGTGCGGCGCTGCTGCGGCTTGCGGGCGGACTGGCGGGCGTGGTGGAGGAGGAGCTGCTGTGAACGGCGCCTCTTCACACCCGCTGCTGTGAGCAGGCGGGCTGGTGGGTGTGGTGGAGGAGGAGCTGCTGCAGCCGCGGCCGCTCGCGCACGAGGTGCTCCTCTTCCCAAGCGACGAGGCGCGGCAGAAGCTCTGCTCTTGGATCGGCTCCGCCACCACCACGCTCGAGTGCTGCCCGCACCGAGGGATCAATCACTCCACTGTCCGTTCATACTCAATCAGGCTCCGCCACCACCACGCTCGAGTGCTGCCCGCACCGAGGGATCAATCACTCCACTGTCCGTTCCTACTCAATCAGGCTCCGCCACCACCACGCTCGAGTGCTGCGTCTTCGTCATCTCGGACGCGCGCGTGGCCGCTGAGCTCAAGGAGGCGGCCGCGCGCGGGGTCGCGGTGCGGCTGATTACCGACGACAAGACTGCGCTCGACGGCGGTTCGCAGGTCTTCGGCATGGCGTCTGCCGGCGTCGAGACGCTCGTCGACCCGGACTACGAGCTCAAGAGCGGCGCGGCGCCCGTGCCGCGCCACATGCACCACAAATACGCCATCGTGGACGGGCGGGTGTTGCTGTGCGGCTCGTACAACTGGTCGTACTCGGCCTCGGCGCGCAACAACGAGAATTGCGTCGTCACAGAGGACGTCTACCTGGTCGCCAAGTACAGCGCCGAGTTCGAGCGCCTCTGGAGGGAGTTCAAGGCGGCCGCGCCCCTCTCGCAGCAGCAGGCCGCCATCCGCATCCAGCAGATCGAGAGGGGCAACCGCGAGCGGCGCAGGTTCGCCGCGATGGCGCGGAGCCACCGCGCGGCCAACGTGTTTGACGTTGCGCGCAGCGCGATGGACATTGCATCGCCGGGGAACCGCAAGCGCGGCCGCGGCTGACGGGCTGAGGTCTGAGGTGTGTGGGGTGCGTTGGGCGTGGGCTCTGTGTCTGTCTCGCGTGACTGTGTGTTAATATACTTTCGTAACGTTATAACCGAGGATACACACCACACGAGGGATGCAGTCTAGCGTTCGGTGCCTCTCTACGGCTTTACATGGACCATGGACTCACACACATTGCTAAAAATCTCTCTCTCACATGGCATTGACCAATTGACCATTTCGGACTCAGGGCCGGTGCTTTGACGCAGTATATTGTACTTCGAGGTAGTATGAACTCAGAACGGCCCCCGGCTCGTTGTGCGAGTATATGGGCCACGATGTCTCAAATATGAGGGGTTTTGACTACTACCAGCTCCTGACGCTATCCCTGGCAGCTCTAATGGCCAGGATCAGTAGTGTTGTGATAGAGGGTGCCCATACTAGCGCAGGAGCTGCCACACTCGCCCGGACCGTCCCCTTCTGGGGCCGGTTCCGCAGCCCGCGAGAGCCGACCGCGGGGCTGTGCCGCGGGTGCCTACTGCCGAGTGCCACAAACACTGCGCCGTCCCGCCATCACCTACAGGCTGTCTTGTGTGATGGTTGGGATGTCCAAACGCCACCATCTTGGCTCTTGCGACCTCAAACCCGCGAGCTGTATGGGTGGTCCTGACGTCGACAGACGCCCGATGACCACGGTGAAGCTGAGCCGGAACGCGTCGACAAGTCTCGTCTGAGCCCGTGGCGGTCGCCGGCTGAGTCGCCGTACACGGGCCGGTACCTCAGGCGTCACCTCCGCAGCCTCAGGTCTCACACTCCATCACCTCCGCCGGGACGCCGTCGGTGGCACGCTCGGCGGCGACTTTGTGGCAGCCCCACAGCGAGCGCGGCATCGAGCCTGTTCGGTCTGGTCGGTTCGCGGCACTCACTGGGTGCCAGGGAGTGCCGCCGACACGCGAGCGGTGCTTCCTGGCGGCGCGCGCCGGCTGTGGGGCTGCCACAAACTCGAGACACGCTTTTTGGGACATTTTCGACGCTTTTGGCCCATATACTCGCACAACATGCCCCCCCGAGAGCGCCTCTTCGACGCCCACGGGTCCCGGGGGGTCGGAGGGGTTGCGAGAAGGCCTTGGCTATTTTTTGTTTGAATTCTGGAGGCCGTTCAAACATGTAACGTGCGTTCCACGTGCCCGTCCCCAGCAAGGACAACATGCTAGCCCAGCAGGCCGCTCCCACCGCCGCCCGCGGCGGAGGCAAGGCGGCAAAGGGTGGCAAGGGCGGCGGCAAGGGCGGCGGCAAGGGTGGTGGCCGTGTGGCGCACCAGACCCACTTTGCGCCGCCGCCCTCAACGCCCGATACTCGGTTGAGCCGGCGGAGCGACGGCGGCAGAGTTGCGGCCGCCGGCGACCTCACACGGCGTCGAGCGCCGTAGAGACGGCCCCGAGAGCCGCCGCCAGGTGTGCCACGACCGCGGTCGCGAGGCTCGTGGCGATAGATGCGCCAGACCCGCTTGCGCCGCCGCCCTCAACGCCCGATACTCGGTCAGAGCCAGCGGAGCGACGGCGGCGGAGTTGCGGCCGCCGGCGACCTCACACGGCGTCGAGCGCCGTAGAGACGGCCTCGAGAGCCGCCGCCAGGTGTGCCACGACCGCGGTCGCGAGGCTCGTGGCGATAGATGCGCCAGACCCGCTTGCGCCGCCGCCCTCAACGCCCGATACTCGATCAGAGCCGGCGGAGCGACGGCGGCGGAGTTGCGGCCGCCGGCGACCTTCCCCTCGACCACGCCGCCGACCCGTCGACAAGCACAGGCGGACTGCCATCGAGAAGAAGGAGAAGGATGGCGGCGCATCCGGAGCCCGCGGGCGCAGCGGGCGCGGGTCCGGGCGCGGGCGGGCGCGCGGGAACCCCGCCAGCGGAGGCGACAATGCCTCTGGCGGCTCTGCAGGCGGCGCGCGGCGCGCCCCTCGCCGGTCTCCCGCACGCTCCTGAGGGCCGAGAGGGCCGAGAGGCGGGGTCGGTGACCCGGGGGCATGGGCGGTGCGGCCCGCGCCGCGCGCGGGCGCGTGGCAGCCCGTGAGGGCCGAGATCGGGTCCGTACTTCGACGTAGTATGGGCCCCCGGGGGCCCTCTACAGCAGCGGCGAAGTGAGCGTGTTTGTGGTGTTGGTGTGGCGTCTGAGCTTGGATCTGTGACTAAAGCCGGTTACCACTGATGGATCCCCACCCGAATAACACACAGTGAGCGCCCCAGCGCTTCACTACGCCCTCCGCGCGAAATCGCTAGTGGTGCTTTGTGGTAGTATATTGTACTTTTCGCTTTTGAGTAGTATGGGTACGGTTCCCGAGACCGATTTTCGATTACCTCGAGCATCGTCGAGAAGTTAATCGACGCGTGTCCCCACACTTCCCCTTCTTGTGCCCACGAGCACTTCTTCTTGCCTCTCTTCGGGAGAAGTATTTTCGGGTCATCTCCCGCGCCCGGTGGCAGGTTCTGGCGTATCTTAAAATTCTTTTGGCACATTCTGGGAACCGGCAGTGGTGGCAGGCGAGCCGAAGGACTACCGCCGCCAACCCTGGGCGCGGCCGCTCGCCGAGGCGGCTAGGCCCGGCCGCTGATGAGAGACCCTACCTCTGGTGCCTCTGCTCGCGCGGAGGGCCTCGAGCTCCACCAGCGGTGAGCGGCGCGCTAGGCAACAGCACAGCGCCGTCCGCTGTCTCGCCGACACACACGACCAACACACACACGCACGCACGCATCGCGCCGGCAGGGCCATCCCAGAGCAGCCCCCGCGCCCTTCGCCAGGCCTCGTGTCGTCGTTGAGAAGATGCTCAACCCCGACCGGATGCTCGACCGCCGGCTGTCGCAGGAGCTGCGCTGCAAACCACAGCAGCGCCTGCATCGTCCCGCCCACCCTGCCGCGCCCTGCCGCGCAGGCCGAGACGCGAGGCATCGGCTGGGACGCCGGCCTCGGCGGCTTCATCGCCGCGGCCATCACCGGGGCCTATGCCGGCGCGGCGGTCGTGTGGGCAAACTACTCGTCTCCTCGGTTCCGAAAGGCGTTTGGCGTGTCGGGCAAGCTGGCGCTGGTTGTGACGCCCGCCTTCTTCGCCTTCCTGCTCAAATCGCACCTCGTCGTCGCCTACGCCATCGCCGACAACCGAAAGCGCGCCGCAGCGCGTAGTGCCGCAACAATAGCCTGCTCCAGCCACAGTGACTCGCCTGCCTCGTCCCGCAGGTACATCGCGCCACTCTCGGATCAGCGATGAGGAGGCGACGCCGGCGGAGCGCAAGCAGCGGCGTGTGGCGGCGTGTCGTGTGGGAGGTGTACCGGCTGCTCAGCCGTCAGGGTGGCGGCTGCGTCCCGCGGGCGCCCAGGAGAGCGGAAGAGCCGACACTGGTCACACTGCGAAGCGAGCGGAGCTGCAAATAGTGGGGGAAATGGTGATTTTTGAATGAACGCCTCGCGCAAAACCACCGCTACCATGCCAAAGAAGACCCTTGTGGGCTATCCAGAACACCTAAGATCATGCCCTAGCTCTAAAGTGGGCCCGAGATACGCCAGCTAAACCCCGGATTTTTTCCGGCAGCGGGCCACACATGGCCGGCTACCCAAGCGGGTCGCACGGAGACACAGGAAGGCTGCCGCAAGCCGCCTCCGGGTGCAGGGGCCCGGCGCGGTGGGCGGGGGCAACGACCCGGTAGCTGGCCGCGCCTCTCCCCCCCCCCCGTCGCCGCTGCACCCCTTGCCGCGGCCCTCGTCGCTGCTGTAGCGACAACAGCCGCGGCACGAGGTCAGAACGCGGCCTCGGAGAGCTCGAGCGAAGGCGCCGACGGTGGCAGCCGTGGTAGTGGTTTATGGTAGAAGGCTCCTGAGCCGTCGGGCACCACGCTCGACGTCGCCGAGCAGCCGCACCTGTCGCGAGCGCCTGCGCGTCGGGCGCTGCCGGCTCGACCTCCATTTTCGGCGAGGTGTCGGGCGCGGCGGGCGGCTCCGGCGCCTCGGTGGCGACCGTGGGCTCGGTGGTCGCCTTGGGCTGCCTGTGGATGTTGTCGTTGGCTGATTTCTTATGCTTCTTGCCCGTTCGGCCGAGGCCTCGGTTGCGAGGCATCTCGGTACACGCGACGGCAGCACGACGTACACGACGAGGACGGCTCCTTGATGGCGACCTGCAGCAGGACGGTGCGCATGTTTGGAGCGTGGTAGCGGACGCATCGGGCCTAGCCCGGGGCCGTGGCGTGTACCGAGAGGCTGGTCTACCGAACACTTTTGGTGCATACCGGCCCAGAAGAGCGGCCGGGAAAAAATTTATTGGCACACTGAGCCATTTCCCCCACTACTGCAAAGTGTCGTATGTGTCACGCATTTTAGTGCGGGGCACTCTGCGAGTGAAGACGTGCTGCTGCAACCTCAGTGCGTGTACTACTACAATACCCCTGTAACGGTCTCCGGACGAATCGACACACAACCAGCCGTTCTACATATATCGCGGGCCCCGCTAGGCGCGGTGCAGTCGCGCTCGCGGCGCTCCAGTGTCTGTCCGCTAGCTTGTCGGTTGTCGGTCCGTTCCGCGTTAACGCGAGCGCCAACGGGCAGTCATGGAGTCGCCAAAGGCCGCGGACAAAAGAAAGAGCGACAGCGCGAGGCGCGTGCCCACTGACCACTGACGCGAGCGGGTGAGAGGAGACTCGCTCCCCCTCCGCGCCCGAGCCGACCCGCGGGGCACGGGCTAGCAGCAGCGGCGCGGAGCAGCGGTCTCCAGCAGAGCTGCTCTACGAGGCGCCAGGCGCCGCGTCATTCTCGTCATCGTCGCTGACCTCGCCGCCAAGCGAGGATGGGCTGCGGCTCGCCTGAGGCAACGGAAGGGGAGGTCCACTTCCCCACGCACAAAAGGGGGGGGCGGGGGCAAGGGCCGGGCGGCCCTCGCGACTCCACGTCTGAGAGAGACAGCTTCCACACATGGCATTCAGCGTGCGAGGCCCGGTGCGCGCGGCCTCGTCGGCCCGCAGGGGGATGTCCAGTC